TTTTTTGTTTTTTTTTTTTTCGCATCACTTGGTCAAGCCCTATCGCATGTCATGCTCTCAAGTGGTTTTTCCTACGCTTCTCGAGTTATGAGACGAGTTTAGACCGAGATCCCGTGCGCTATTGGAGGAGGAGACCCGTTGGGGTAACCTGAGGCAAGGTATGCGATACTGCTTTATGTCATATCTTCTTGATTTTATTCCAATTGTTATGTAATTTTTAGATTCATGTTATGAATGAGATTTTGTTTTGATGGCAAGCAAGTGAGAGTCCTTGGCATTCTTTGTGCATTTATTGGTTCATATATTATATTCATATATTATATTAGGACACTTGTAAGTGATCTGGGTGGTAAAAAAAAGGAAGAAGAATTTTAATCAATATTTACTTGCCCGGGTCACGTAGTCCTACTTTCATTGGGCACCGCTAAATGCTCATATTGCTTGACAAGAGCATTGGGAGTCGGTGGCCCAGGAATAAAAGTTGTGACAAGAGGAGTTTCAGGTCGTCTACTCTCACCACTATGAACAATTTAAACATGACATCCAGAGAGGTAGAGCACCTCTCAAATAAGAGGCTTGAAAAGCAAAGTCTGGTCTCTATTGCTAACACATTGGTGCGCGAAACTTGAATATGCTTGCTTATACAAATATGTCAAGTACATGAGTATCCAAGGCTACATCATCATCATTAGCTTTATTATAGCTTTTGACCAACCATTTGGGGTATGCAAGGCTACATAAATAATTCTCTTCTTGTTTCTATTGAGTTAGACTAATGATAATACTATGTTTTAACACATTGAAAATACAGGGACTGTAAATTGAGGAAACTATCTTGGAGTCATGCTAACGAAGAATTTTTTTCTCCTAAATATATCATCATGGTTTCTGGTCTGCTTGGTTCTACTTAGGACCATCAATTTATCCCTTGGAACCCCTTCTATATCTACAACTCTTCATTTGGTCCTTTTAAATAAATTTGATAAAAAAATTTGTGACATTCTGTATCAAAAGCATACCAAAAGAACAAATGTTCTCTCTCAAATTGCACAAAATGCTTTAGTTCTCCTATTTGAAGTAGAAATAGCTTAGGCTACTCATCATCATCATTAGATCCTTGTCACACATTGCACATAAATCTTTCAAAACACAGAAATCATGAGAACTCCCACACCTTAATCTCATGTAGCCACATTGCCGAAAATTGACCTTACCCACATTGCCGAAAATTGACCTTACAAGTGTTTCAACCTGATCCAATCCTCACACGTTAGTAGAAAATGAGAGCCTGATACTTGTGAGATCCAGTTTTTCCTAGAATTTCTCGGTCAATTACCAAAAACCTATTCCCGATGGTCCAATTTGAGGAACCTTTATGGGATAGACATCAACAGAAAATCCTTGGACTCAGCTTGAGTCACTGAACAAAGTTCTAAGAAAAAACAGGCATTGTGAATACTGATGTATTCACTACTGAATGTTGATTCTGGATCTCTGAGTTTCAGTGATTGACAATCACATACTCACACTTAAACTGATTTAAGGTTTCTGATGCCTGATCGTTTGGGCCTGGTTCAGGTAGCTTGTTGGAATGAATCAAGATGCCATTTAATATGAGGGATTGAAACCATTATATACAATCATACAAGTGATTGAAACTGATTGACCCCTTCAGGGAGAAAATAATTACTATACGCGTGTACAAGACATGCAATTATGCAATTTGACAATTACAAATATGACCTAAGACCCTTATTAGCTGGACTTTTCTTCAACATTGTTTTATTATCCTGAGTCATTTATGATGATTATTGAGTAATACCATATGTTATTTTTGAAGACCGAACCTGATGTTCCTAGCACACTATTTATATAATATGTTATATGATCCCTTATATTTGGGTTACCAGAGCATCTCTGTTAAAACTTGCTTATGATATTTGCTAGTCTACCTGAATCAGAAATTGTTATGCCCTCTTGGTTGCTTATGTTCTAATCCTATGTACCCAAGTTGCATTAATCATTGACCAAGTGACATAAATTAGATTGTGTATGTGATTGAATGCAAATATGTGCTTATGTGTGTGTGTGTGTGTGCATGTGTGTGCTCTCCCTTGCGTACAAGAGAGAGAGAGAGCGAGAGAGAGAGGGAGAGAGGGAGAGAGAAAGAGGAGAGAGGGAGGGAGAGAGAGAGAGCTATATACTGTATATATTCAGCCTCACACAGATGCCAGTGCTCTGAGTCATCTCAAGCATCTTTCATAGTTTTCTGATGTCACTGCTTCTCCCAGGTGACTGATCAGTGATCAACAAAGGCATATGAGGAGTGGTGTTTGCTTTGAGGTGATGAATTTCAGAATTGAGCTTTTCATTCGATTTTTCTTGCTGTAATTTGATATAAATGTGCTTTTAAGAATAATTTTTCCTTTCAACTCCTTTTTGCTGCCAAATGGTTTTTGCTTGGAATTGGAGCTGGCCACATGCAATTTTTTGTTTTTGCTGTGGCTGGTATGAATATGTACTTTTAAGAATTTGTGAAATGCTTAATAACGAGTCATTTTCTGAAAATGAATGCAAGAGAAAATATTTCCGTTCTTTTGGATGTTGATTAAAAGAAGGGTGCATATATGGTGGTCCTGCAAGACTGCTGTGAAAACATGATTGAGACTATTATGAAAATGTGATTGGCGAGGATGTTTTGATCAGAGAATTTTGTAATCATCTTTGATTCACCTTGTGGTGATTTAGAAATTAAGAAAAAGAAAAAAAAGTTTTTGAGCTCTTAAAACCTAGATCCCATCGTCCTTTGAATGGAACAGTTCAGCCATTTTTAAGGTGGAATTGACTTGGAGTACTTTCTGAGCTCCAAATCTTTTTTTGAAATACCATGAGAATTGTACAGAAGTTTTCAGATAGGTATGAACCTTGGATTGGCATGTATTACAAGGTTGTTTTCTTTTTAGAAATTCATGGCTCTATAATTGTAAGGGATCAATTGGGCTGATTTAATTTCTTTCAAGTCAATCAAAGTGAGTGGAATTTCGATCCGGTCTCCTTAATTTTTTATCCTTGCCTGCCAAAAATTAAACCAAATTTGAAATACTTATACCTCCATTTAGGATAAGCTCTTTTATTGCTTAAGCCTCCTAGCTAGCAAGCTATTACAGTCTTTGTCAACATGATAGCATAATTGTTTTTGTATTTTGGAAAAGACGACTGAATGCCACTATGTTAAAGATCGGTCTATTCACCCCCAAAAAAAGGTGTAGCGGAGCAATTTGGAATTGTTATCATCATCATCATTATCATCATCGGAGCTTTTTTCAAACTATTGAGATAGCGGACAATAAGATCATTAATTTTTAGTGCACAAAGTCCCAATCATTCATTGCTGTTTGATATAAAGTTGGATAGTTGAGAATATGAAAGTTCATATAAGATTACAACCTTAACATGTAAAATTAAATATGCACCTCAAAAATCTATCGAAAAAGGTTGTTTTGATGTTGAAAAACCCTCTAATCGATCATTTCGACATTGAGATGTATGAGTATGACAAAAAAGAGAGATTTTGAGCTCCAAAAATAGTGCATCTTGCAACACTTTATTTAGACCTTCCCTTTTCAAGATTTTCATATGTTTATAAATTTACTTGATTTTAATCATTTTTAGAGTTTTAAATTTTTATAATTAGAGACAAAATTAGATTTTCAAATACTTACTTATAACCTTGCCTAATGTAGTGCCTAAGAACTTTTCAACTATTTAAGAATCATCCAAATCCGACACTCCATTTGAAATTTATGGCCTGTAGAAATCAAAATCATTTTTATGTATATACACTTTTCTTTCTTTCCTTTTTAATTTTCCCCAAATTGTTCATACTTCTTCAAAGGTTAGAACTTGAGCTTTAGATTTTGGACAAATTCGGACCTTCAAAGCGTGAATTATGGCAATGAGAAAAACCTCTCTAATGAGATTTGAAGTTGAGGTTCCGGATCAAAACCTCAACTTGAAGTTGCCCCCAAACTAGTGTTTTAAAACCTAGCGATCTAGATCAAGAATTGGCAATCTGGGCCAGCAATCTGCTGGAAGTCTGGAACCACATCATCTGGAAGCTATCGATCCTAACTCAATCTCCCACTAAAACCCACTTTTGATATTTTCTTAGATCCCCTTTAAATTTTTACCCCATAAGCCCCATTTTTATTTTTATTTTTTTACTATTTTAAATTTTTAGGGATCACTAATTCTGACAAATCCAGACTAGTTATTTGGCAAACCGATATAGATATGTAGGGTAGACAATATCCTACATATCTAAGATTTGAAGCACTACACCAAACTCAACTTTAGACTTTCAAAGTCTGAAGTATGAGCAATTTGGGAGAAAATATAAAAATATGATTATCAATGTAATAACGAAATTTTAGAAGGAAATTTTAAAAGATATCTAAATTTCCTTTGAATGTATTGGCTCTTGAACTATATTACCTTTTTCCTTTCCAGGATGACAAGAAGAGTCCTATGTAATTGAAGAGAAACAAACGAAGGCATGTGAAAACTTATAGTTGCATTAGCCATGGACAAGGCAACGGTGTCGAAGTCTTTGATATCAAACTGTTGATCATAATACTATTTATTTTTACATCCCCCAACCCAAAAGCACAGAAGTTAAATTTTTTACTAACATATCCCTATTGTAACCCACGTTTCTAAAATGTGAACATGTGTCGGTCAGGCATAAAATGTGTCAGACCGGCATCTGATATTCAAATTTTGCTGCTCTGGCATTGGAATTGTGTTGGTCTAGCATAAAATGTGTCAAACCGGCTTCTGATATGCAAATTCTGCAGGTCCGACAGAAAATGTGTTGGTCCGGTTTATATTGAGATTGTGTCAGCCCGGTATAAAATGTGCTAGAATGGCTCTATATTCAAGTTGTGATGTTGAATCAACTCAGAGAAAGAAAGTAGGAAACATGGGTTAAAATGAGGGTATTTTGGTTAAAAAAAAGTGAACTTTTTTTTTTGTGGTACAAATGCAAAAATAAATAGTGTTGCGGTGAACAATATGGTGTCAAAAGTATTTTGGGGCTTTTGGTGGGTTGGGGGATGTGAGGGGGGGCCCGGGGGGGGGGGGGGGGTGGGGGGGGAGGGCGGCCGTGTGGGGGGGTGTGGTTTGTATAGAGACGAGGCTCTAAACAATCAAAAGTAAAGCACGTCTTCAAATAATGTCGAGAAATATGGTTTCAACACTAGACAACTTTGTAATAGCCTTAAAATATATTTTCATCACTAATTATAAAATTTAAAGCTTAAAAAATAGTGTAGATCGAGCAGATTTATGAAAACTTGAAAATTTTTAAAAATTGATGTTCCAAAAATACATTACAAGAGGCACTATTTCTAAGCTTGAAATCCATTTTTTTCTCATGTCCATGCATCTTGAGATCTAGAATATCAATTTGAAGATATTTGGAATCAAAACAACCTCTTCTAGTGAAACTTTTGAGGTGAGCACCAATTTGATTGTTTAAAGCCTCGCACGTATCTAAACCTTTTCCTCATAATTTTCCTGAAAGTTTTTGTCAATGCCTATAGTCGTGTAACGGAAAGTACATCATAGTTTTTTTGTTGTGCAGTTAACCATTTTTTGTGTACAAAAAGCATATATTAGAAAAATTGTTGGCCGCACCGCATTTCTACAATATGTGGTCCAGAAGTATAAAGCACCCATTTTAAAGATGGAGGTAAATAGGTGGTCCATCTAAAATCAAGTGTAACTAACATCCAAATGTTCTCTTAGTATAATCATTATTTCCAGTTTTCGAAAAAAAATATGTCATATTCATATTTTCCATGTTAAAGATTATATATTCTCTACAAATTAGGATTAAATTATATTTAAAAAATAGATTAAGATCAAATTATATTTAAAAAATAGATTAGGATCAAATTATATTTTAAAAATAGATTTATTGCGAAGCCCGCATACGAGTGCTGGCTGCATAGAAACGATGTATGTCCTTTTCTTTTTAGCATTAAAATTAAGTTAAACGATTGGTCTAACGCAAATGGAGATGCGGGTTATTCTGAGAGTCACAAGGACAAAAAGTATATCATAATGTGTATCAAGTCACATATCAAATGCAACCCTAAAGTCTCAAACCATTTTCTGCAGTAACCTACTGTCAATTACCGGTTGTTCAAAATAGAAGATTGGGATTGCATGTTCTATGCTTTTTCGTTCTTATATGTATCGATATGTTGTAAATTTGAGTGGACACTTATGGCGTATGTCTTCATCATCATCATCATCATCATCATTATAGTTTTTTTTCAATTAATTGATGTGGACTACACGAACCTTGATATACCATTATGCATTTATGATGTATGTATTAGATTGAGGGATAGATACTTGGTGTTCAACGAAAATAAACAATTATGTACGGCCATTTCTTATATATGTCACCTATCAAGTTGTCTCATATGAGGAAGCAGCTCGAGCTTCTGTCATAATGTGATACCCAATATCAATTTAGCAGATGGATTGGCTAAAAGGGATGCTGGATTCCTTAATAGTTGTATTTGGCGCTACGCCCACTTAATTTATTTCTTTCTTGATCTGTTGTGATTCCCTCTTTCTTAATGAATAAAATCTTCATCCTATTGTCAAAAAAAAAGGTTTTTTCTTGAAATTTTCTCTTCTTTTTTTTGGACAGTAACAACCACTTCCTTCTTTATTGATCTTTCATCCAAATTAGTGGCTTCAATGTTCAATTACCAACATAGTAACCTCACAAAAAAAGTGCACATTAAACCAGAAAACCAGACCTAAGGCATGTTGCATACGCATATAAATTCACAAATGAATACAATCATAAACAAATACAATTCACCTCTTCTCAGTCATTATTTCTCTTGTAAGATGCAACCTTCAACTCGCTTGCCTCTTTACAATTGATTTGCCTTGGAGTTCTTCTCTGTATACACATGGACAAAAGCGAGGAGGGGTCTTTTCAAACATTCTTTACAAGAATACCAAATAGGCTAAAAGAAATATCACCCCCATGTGGTAATTTCCTCAATCAAGATGCCGTATGAATGTATAATAAATATTGAACACATACAATGCTCCCTCGGGAACATAGTTTACTTCTAATCCCTTGATCAGATGACCTACTTGGAAGGATATTTTTCTAATTATAATTTTGGAAACCACTTAATAATTACAAGATAATTATTCTAAAAAACAAAACAAAAAATAAATTTTAGTTTTCTAACACTTAGATTCCACCGTTTAAACTTGGATGGTTCTATTCAATCACAAGACATTGGTTTTTTCAATTGCATAGCAGGTAAAAAAATTAAGGGTATATTTTTTTGTTAAGGTTAATCTATAGGTTGAATGGCATAAATATTCATCCAATTATCCATTTTATTTATTTTTTTAAGGAAAATGGTTTGAGAGGGCTGCAGCCCTATAAAAATAAGTAAAGCCTGACCTTTTAACTCATCAATAATTGTAATTCAAGCATTGGAAAGCTTTTACATGGACCATCCCGACTTGAAATTATGGTTGCAAAAAAA